GTTTTTGAACTCAGACTTGAGTGAAGAAACAACATTTAATGTAGTACATAAGATATGAACAAATATATAGTATATAAGATAACATCCTAATTGCATTTTCTATTTTGGGAATTTCAGTGGCAAACATGTTTTGTTCACCCAGGTGGCAGGAAAGTGTTCCTAAAAGCCAGTAACATTGCCAAAAAATGTATAATGCATTAGAAATACCAGAGAAAGTGATAAGACATGTGTAAGTTAAAGCCTAATTTTTTTTTTTGGGGGGGGGCCTAATTTTATGGTCTATTTTTGAATGTTGTCTAAAAGTGCACTCATGAATGAGAATTTAGATTTGGCAGGCCACACATACGTTTCCAAAATAAATCCTGCTGAATAAATCCTGCAAGACCTTTGCCTCTAAATGACACTCTTTTAGCTGAAGACCTTTAAGTCTTTCAGAAATATCCTTTAGGATATTCATATAAGGCTGTTCACAAGCATCAGACACTTACTTGATGAAGCAACCCGAAATACACTTTTATGGGACCTAAGAAGTAAAAATTGCATTGTGACAACAGAGGAAATTTGTGTCAATACGCTTAATGTTTTATATATAAGAAGCCTAAAAACATCTGATTTTTATATAAGAAGCCTAATCACATCTGAAATATAATAGCTGATTTTTATTTTAAAATTAAGGCAACATAATTTTTAACTACAAAGGCCTTTTAAATATTAAGTAATGGATAGTGGTTTAAGTTCTAAATTCCTTCAGCCATATTACAAAAATCACTGTCTTAAAGGGGTGATTCTGAAATTACTTCTTTCACCAACAGTATTACTTCCAATTGATGTTGATAATATGTTCTTCATAAGAAAAACGTTAACTTTAACTAAAATCTTCTTTAAACAATTTAAATGTCATAATAACAAGCATAGCATTTTAATTTCTTGCCACCATGATGAACTAATTTTTGTATTTTTGGTAGAGATGGAGCTTCACCCTGTTGCTCAGGCTGGTCTTGAAGCAATCCACATTCCTTTGTCTCCCAAAGTGCTGGGATTACAGGTGTGCGCCACCATGCCTGGCCATCAATTTCCATTTTTTACAGAGTTTCATATCTTATTATCTAAATTTGTTAGAATCCTGAGTGGGGCTAAGTTGAAGCCATCTTATTTCAGAGTAGATAATCTGCTTTTGCCAGGATTATGAGGAACAAATGTCTATTTATTTATCTTCATCTTCTACTTTATATGTTAGATCTGCTGGACAGTATCATTTGAAGAAAGGTTACTCTTGCAAAAATAGTCTCTATACTGTAGAAAAACTAACAGAAATATTGCCACAGTTAACAGATATAATTCATATAAAAGGCAGCTTTGGAAAAGAAAATCACACGATCAATACAATCTCATGACTTGGAGTTGTTTGCAGAGCTGGTGGTTAGACACCATGTGCCACTTTACTGGTCTCTTTTCCTTAAGCATCTTTGGACCCAGTTAGTTGGTAAATAAATTAAAGTGATATAGCTTTCTATAGGTACACATTTATGCTTTTACAGACCTACAATTATTCATATTTGATTATTGGGGCCATTTTCTCTAGATTGTTTTTCTTTGGCAACAACTGCTACTGCTTTCTTCATTTCTAAATCCTATCATATATGATGCAGAAAACTCAGCAGGAGTGAGTTTTCTCTTGGTAAAAGGCCTCATGAAATCAAATCCAATGCTACATTTTCTATTGACTATATTTTTCCTATATTTAATTTTAGTTTTATATTTAGAGGCATTCAGATTTAACTACTTGACTGCTTATATTCTAAGCTCAATATACAATAAAAAGGCAAGGAATAAACAAAAACACATTTTTTTTCCTGATACAGATCACTTTCATCAAGCTTCATGCATATACTCACACTTGCCCATCCACAATTACAAATGCATGCACACACACAAACATATGCACACACACGTTGATTAGGGCAGCGACACTGTTCTCAACGTGTATTCATTTCATTCACTGTAATGTAAGCTAAAAGAAATCCACAGTCTTAATTATGTCTAAATATTTATACTTTTGTTTCAGTTTTCTGATAAGGCATAATCATTTATACATTAAATTTGTTTTGTTATAAAAAAAAATTCTTAGTGATCCTGACATTAAATTGCTTTCCCCTCTACTCTTTTTACTATCTTTCTCATCGCACTAACTTCTGCAGCTGTAGTTCAGATTACCAATATCTGAACATGGATTAAAATTAGTCCGTCTCAAATATGGCAAGTTCTTATACATGCCTACTGTCTACTACATAACATGTTTAATATTTTTGATAAGGATGTAATTTTGAAGGATTGAGTGCAAATTGAATCTTTTAAAAGCAATTCACAATATAAATGTACTATATTAGATTTAACTACAGGAAATTTTTAAATACTTTTGCATGAATAATCATTTCAATTTATTTTATTAGAGATGTGGAAATAAAAATAAAAAATAGATTATCTTTTTAATGTCTTGTGGGACATGCTGGCTATGAAAATCATATGAAAATTATAAATCCTTTTTCCAGGAAAAGGTACATATACATAGAATTTTATGTATAATTTCTGGAGGTCCATAGATCCCTTAAAGCCCGTTTATAGACTCCAGGTTATGATTTCTTGAACTAGATACAGAGCATAATTAAATGAATAAATAAAACAATAATATAATTTGATGCAGGCCATGTCTTATACATTACTCATCATTATTATAAGAAATAAAAACAACTGTTTAATTGTATACATTCTGGTTTGAATATATAAAGCATATTAGAACATCTACTTTATATATGTGTTTTACACAAGTTCTGCAAGCCAAATATATCTGACTATTTTAATTTCAAATTTGTTTTGATACAAAATGAATGCCTTTTCGATTATTATAAATAAAGTTTGAAGAATGCTTGTGACTCTGCTGACTTTAACAGAGGTAAGCAGCATTTTCATCTGCCTGTAAACTTTTACTAGCATCCTACTATAGGGCAAGGGCTTAAAATGCTATACCCTATTTCTACTGAATGCACTTGCCGGATTCTACCACTTTAAGGCATTTTTCCTGGGACTAAAAGAAAATACGTTTTTATTTCTACATAATATCTGCTATAGTTTCTTTTTATTGGCTCTCTATAAAAACAAACATAGTGGCGATACTTAATTACCTAAGTATGTGTGGATAGTATCATGACTACCCTTGTATTATATCTGTAAAATTCCTCTTCATTTCAAATATTACACAGTATTTTATGATAATGCTACAATGAGTTTACTACAGTGTAATCACATGAAGGCACGGATGTCCACTTATTGTAATGTAACTTCTATTGCAATATTAATGCTAATTATTTTTATATGTAAGCAATTTCAATTAAATATACACTCAGCTATTTCTGGAAATGGCTTATTAACTAGTGGTCTGACTGGGAAGAACAGTGAACTAATTCCTCTCCCTAAAAACTCTTGAAAACAATCAATGTCCCAGATAACAAAATACTTTAAATGAAAATACTGAACCTAAATGAACATTGTTTGACTTAGGATTTTGTAGTCTCATATTTGTTTGTTAAATTTCAGTTAATGGCCTGTGGAATGTATTTCTAAGATTATTTGGATGAAGAAACTTCAGCTAGACTTCTTATTACTCTATTGGAGAATATATTCAAATGGAGTAGAAGGCTTTTCAGTATTTGCCCAGTGTTGCTTAGGGACTCCATATTAGCACTGCTGTAGAGGGAAATACAGGAGCTGCATGAGATTTAGTGAAATTATATTGGCCCAGATCTGAAAGGGGTATTAAAATAAACCACAAATATCCTTTTTTTTTGCCTATTTATCTGATAGTGTGAAAAGTGAAGGCAACAACTGATGTTCAATAAATATTTTAGTAGGTGAAATGTGAAAAAACAGAAATTTTACTGACACTGAGACAGAAAAAAAGAGAGAGGTATGAAACAATGCAAAGGAACTCTGCCATTCACTAAAAGTTAATACAAATACATACATGAATTGTACAACTTAGGAGAGGAGATAACTGTGTACAGATTGCTATAGAATACATGAGAGAAAGCAATATATGTTATGAAAATTCAGAAGATAGGAGCTTATATTGGGGACATCAAGAGAAGGATTAATGAATTTAGTACATACTTTAGCTAAGCCTTGAAGGATGGATAAGATTTGGTCAACAAATGATGAGAAAAGGACGTGGGAGGAAGACTGTGAATAAAGCAGCTGACCTAGAAGGTAAAGGGTATTTTTGTGGATTAGTTAGATGGTTGGAGTTGGTTACATGAAGCGATATTAAAGGTAACAAGCTGGGGTCAACACATTGTACTTCTTGGGTGCTAAGCTAAAGGGCAATGAGTGAAGAGCCAACTATTTATTTTAAACAAGGTGTGTTGTGTTCCTAGCCAGCCTCACGACTATGGCAGTGGCCAGTTTCAAAGGGGTTGCATTTTTAATAAACGTGTATTCCATTACAATCTCAGTTATATTATTCATAAGAACAAAAGCACTAATTTGAAAACCAGCAACAAATAGAAACATGATACGTGTAAAAATTAACTTTATACTCTAAGGCAAAAGTGATAAATATATAATACTTGAGGTTATAGTAAACAGCATCAATATATATTTTTCCACAGAAATAAAAAAGAAAATAGCACTGTACTCACACACCAAAAAGTATTAGCAGGAAATGAGAACTTTTGGTAAGTCTACAAAGCACAAACATTAAGTAGGAGGTATGTGGTGTAACTTTATAGAAAATAGGTAGTTAGTAAAACAAACAAAATCAGCATTGTTTACTACTTGTCTGGCAGAGATCATTCTTAGACATGGGAAGAAGCTTAAGATCCATCCTTAAGCATGCTATTGAGACTCTAAATAGGTAAGAATTTGCACACAAATGACCAGAGGATTATACATGTTTATGCAAGTCAAGTATCTTTGGTTTTGTAATTTTAAAATGTTGAAACTCTTACCTCTCACGACAAGGTCAGCTGAAGCTGAAGAATTGTCCACAATTGTCTGGGCAGTGCATGTATATCTTCCAGCGTGTCTCAGCTGTGCATTTCGAATGAGCAGTTCCCCATTGGAATCCAGCTGTTAGCAAAACAGCAATCATTCCAATCAGTAAAATTTGCCCCAATTACATGGCATTTAAGATACAAGAGGTAGATATTTTTCCCTAACAAACACCACTTAAAGAATGTATTTTATATATGCTATTATGTCCTTGCTCTAGGCTTCAGTTTCTCAACTGAAAAATAAAGTGAATAATTTATTAATAAGGTCATTTTCAGCTTTAATACCTTTAGCATTCTATTATTTCCACAATCAGAGGACTAACCTGAGGGTTATATCGAGAGAAACCCAAGGGATGAAACTATTTAATTGGTATTGCTTAAAGAGAAATATTACGGTCTAATAATCTTAGTGTTAAGTATCAATAAGTACAAACAAATTGTATATGGTTTGGAAGAATTATTAACTTGATTTCACAAAGTTGATTTAATTGACTAGTCTTAATATATTCCATAGTTCATTTTAGAAAGATAGTAAAAGTTTGCAGAAATTGAGAAAATGTACAATTTCACTAACATGTACTTGGTGAAAAATTATAAGTTCTGGGAGGACAAGGGTTTTTGTTTTGTTCAATGCTCTATTCTAGTGCTTCCAGGAGTGTCCAATACTTAGTTTTTGAGAGTGTTGAGGAAATTTTGTTTGTGATAATGACACTATTTCAGTGTAATTTCCAAAAATAGCTAATACTTACTTAATGACCATTCTACACTGGGTCCTGGGCAGTACAAGCATATATATACGTATATATACGTATATATACGTATATATATGTATATATATATGCATGCACGTGTGTGTGTGTTTGTACACATACATACACTTTTATTCAATTCTTTTTTGACAACTGCCCTATGAGATAGGTCTTATTATGTCCATTTAATTAACAATGAAAGTGGGACTGAGGGAATCCAAGTAATTTAACTAAGGTAACTAAGGTCACTCAGCTTGTATGGTAGTGGGGCGATGTCAAAGTTCATGTTAATGATCTCCAAGATATTTTCCTAGAATGAAAACTTGGAGAACTCAGTTTTTAAATGGACATATTCAGTTTTCCTGTGAACCAAAAATATTGATTTACTATTTCAGTCATAGGTATCTAGATATATTAAAGGATGAACATATCATATAAACAGTACTCTTATATGTGATATAATACTTATATAATACTTTACTAAGTTAGGCCTACAAAATTTTCAAACATGAATATTTAATGACTGTACATGGACTGAATGTTTTGCTTCACCATAGGTTCTATCAATAGCCTTTTCACAGATTATGTTCCCTCCCTCACATATTATATTCAATAGCCCTTCACGTATTATGTCTTGGCATTTGGGTTTGTGACCCGTGCTGGATTAATGAGGTTACAAATAATAGCTGGGCTTATTGGTATGGTTGGTTGAAACAGAATACTAGTATCTCCACATAAAGAACTGATCAGTGAACATACCCCAGGCATCCCCAAACTTTTTACACAGGGGGCCAGTTCACTGTCCCTCAGACCGTTGGAGGGCCGCCACATACTGTGCTCCTCTCACTGACCACCAATGAAAGAGGTGCCCCTTCCTGAAGTGCAGCGGGGGGCCGGATAAATGGCCTCAGGGGGCCGCATGCGGCCTACGGGCCGTAGTTTGGGGACGCCTGCATACACCTTATTTCTTGGGCCGTAGTTTGGGGACGCCTGCATACACCTTATTTCTTGATGTTAGCCAGTCTTAGCACAAAGCCAGAGGTTATAATTTAATGTTGGGTGAGCTCTTCCCGTCCCTTGAGGTATAGATTGGCCAAAAATCAAAACAGTTCCCAAAATTTCTACAAATTCTTGGAATAGAGTAGTTTTTTCCTTCTGTCCTCTTGGTCTGTTATTATTACTATTATTATTATTATTTGTTATACCAGGGAGCTCCAGACTAGAAATTCAGCACTTTATTTTATAATAAAACCAAATAGCATGCAGTAATACCTAGTAAAGTGAATTTAGTAAATAACTGAAGGTGCTGGAACTGGTTATATATTAAAAAAAAAAAAAAGGCAGGGCAAATCCACCTTAAAAAGTATCATCCACTGCATAGTTCTGTTTTTAAAAGTTTTATTGGCCGTATATTTACTGGGAATTTTTCAGTGACCTTCACCCCTGCCAGTGCTCCGCCATCCTGTTGGCAGCCACACCTTCTACCAGTCTCTTACTTCTCTCTCTCTTTCTCTTCTTTCTCTTGGAAATAAAGAATTCTTATTTTCTCAGGTTAAGCTGTTTGATTGATTTCTGCTTGGATTCAGACAAAAATCTATTCTCTGTAGTTTTTCTATTTCTTCATTTCTTACTTTTCAATCAGTTCTAATCTGAGTCCCACTGCTTCAGCTCGTCTTACTTGACTTCTCGATAGCATTTGGCTTTCCCTCCCCAAATATTCATTTTTTTCCAGTCACCTGACTTTCCAGGAACTTCTAGGACATTCTTGGCCCCTCTCATTCTTCAACTTTCTTACAAACCCATCATAAATTCTTGAAATTATCCATTTCTTTCTATCACTACTGCCTCTTGTCCAAACTACCCACATCTGTCACCTGAACTCCCACATCTTATTTGACTACTACTTCCACCACTGTTCCACTCTGTTCTTTCCTCTATTGGTTAACTAGAATGACTTTTAAAAATGCAACTAGGCTCAACTTACTGATCTCCATAAAAGCAGATAAACTGAAACCTTAAAAATTTCCCTTTCTTGGGACAAAAGCTGTAGCATTATTGTAGCCAGCTTGGTTCCATTCTCTAGGCTTTATCTCATGCTCCAGCTCACCTAGTGCGCCATCTCACTCACACTTGGCTCTCCAGGAAGAACATGCTGTTTTTAGGACCACAAATACATCTTGTTCTCTTTAATCTCTGGCTTGCCACATTGTCTTTTTTTCTGGAATTATGATCCATATTCCTCATCACCTCAGTACCTCCTCCCCTTATCACCTTCACCTCCACCCAATACCAGTTCAAATCATTTTCTCCAGCAAGCTTTTGGATTATCTGTGGACTAGACAGATCCCCTTTATATATTTTATTATAGTACCATGAACCTTATACCATATTACTTATCTTAAATCCACTTAAACACTTGCATGATTATGTGGTTGAAGTTGGTCTCCCTGGAAGACTATAAGTTTTATGTGAGAATATATGTTAGTTTTATTTAGCATACATCTTGTATCCCTGTGTTTTGTGATGTGTGTGTGTGTGTATATGTACACACACACACACACACACACACACACGCACACATATACACAGCTGTATGTGCTGTCTCAAGTCCAGCACAGTGCCAAAAAAAAATTACACTAAACATACCTTGTTTGAATGAACTTATCAAATTGTCAAGAATTTTTTGTATCTGCTATTAAGATAATACATATTTACTTCTTTTCAGCTACATTTAGAATTATATTAGCAAGTACACATAACCCATGACAGTGACAGCATTTACTAAACGCAAAATGAGCCTTTTTGTGTGTGAATGTGAAGTACACACAGCTTCAACCTCCACAGATTACCCCTGCATCTAACTCCTGTGCCCCAGCCATGGTGAATAGCATATATTTTGCCCTGTGCTCTCAGAGCATACCTTTGTATAGACTACTTGCATTGCCCAGATTGCCCATCTCCCACTTCCATTACTTGGCTATGAACATTCATCCCACATTTTAGATACCCCTCTTATTTCTGAAATTGCAAGGCTAGACATTTTCATTGTAACTATTCCTTTCTACTGTAATTGTTCACTATTGATTTATTTCAATAGACTATAATTCCTGGAGGAAAGAACAAGGTCTTCTTATTACATACAAAAGTACTTAATATAATATCTGACATACAAGAAAATTCAACAAATATTGGATAGATATATTAACATAATCTAAAGTATTTTTATTAAATAGACATTCTTTTAGTAATTTCAAATATTTTCTCAGGTAAGATCATGATAATGTTATAAGGTAAAATAACTGAATTGAGAAAAACTATTGCTATCCATGTCTAGGAGATAAACTACCATGAATGATATGTTTCAAATATCTATACACTAATTTCATAAGAAAATAGAAAGCTTATTGGGAAGATGTGACAATTTACAGAGAAAACATTATTTCTAACATGTAAGAAAACTGAACTTCTAACTTTTCCCACCCATATGTGTAGTAAGGAATTTGGCCTTGCCAAAAGAGAGGTCCTGCTATTGCTCTCAACTTCTAGAAGATGATCTCTAATATCTTTCTTTGCCTGGGTGGGTCTTCGGTCATACTGGGTCATCCAATCATATGATTTAGGGAAGGGGTTAGCCATACCTGTTTAGTCTTAAAGCTAGGGGTGGTCATACTGGAAAATTCAACAATGTGATTTAGGGCAAGAGTTAACTACACTTGTAGAGTCTTAGAGAAGGGCCTGGTCATGCCGCAAATAGGACATTTTGACTTAGAGTAGGGGTTTTGAGTCATGTGGTATCACTCAACCTAGAGACTGAGATTAACCATGTGAGCAATGAGTCCATCAATCACGTGTACTTGATGAAGTCCCCTCAGAAACTCTTGACAGAAAGGCTTGGTAAGCTTTGGTGGTTGGCAACACTTGGAGCATGCTATGACACATCAGAACAGTAAGAGTAATGCATTTTAACCACTTGGGGAGAAGACAATGGAAGCTCTGTGTTTCGTACTTCTCAACTCTGCCCTGCGTGCTTTTTCCTTTAGCTGATTTTAATTTGTAGCCTTCCTGTAAGAAGCTGTACCCACGTGCATAATAGCTTAAAGTGAGTTCTGTGACTCACTTCTAGTGCAGTGTGGAAACAGAAGATGGTTTTTGCAACCCCTTAAACTTGCATTTGGTGTCAGAAGTGAGGGTGGTTTTGGGGACTGTGCCCAACTTTGCAGCTGGCCTAACTTCTTATACCATACTAAATAGAATTCATCTAAGAAAGGAGGTAAAGTATGTTTTTATTTTATTATTTCTAGTTATATTTAAAAATATTTTTGAGATA